CCTATTTATATTCTTTCGCGCTCCGTCTCTCTCCTCTTCCTGCTTCCCAGACATCTCTCTGATAAATACCCTAGTTATGAATTATATTGTAGCTCTTGTGGCTGAACCAACCAGAGCGCAATAATTCCTCATAGTACAACAATACAATCTGACAAGCCAATAGAGCTCTTAAATAAAAGGAAAGTAAGGAAACGGTGCGCACACACACACACCATAAATTTCCTTCAGACATTTCAGTTGAGTCGTCTGACTTCATGGGAAATCGTTGAATTGTACGACGGGGTTGACTATGGCGGCGCGCACTCTCGATAACAATACAACATTCATTAATCAATATTAGTGAACGCCCATGTGATCGATCGTCCCCTCATTTCTTCTGTTTTGCATTAGATCTAAGAACTTAACTGGACCCGTGTGTGTTTTAGTTGCAAAAACAAATAGCGCAACTGTACCATTTCATTGAGTCAGCATTTCTGGATAAAAAAGTCAACACTGTAAAAAAAAGATTTTTTGGTTAAGTAAATACTAGTGAAAAAACCCAATGTAATTTACTTGAAAAAGTTAGTTCAGGCAAGAATTTAAAAAACTAAGTAAATTCCATATCAGTACTTATTTCAAGCGAGTATAAATGAAAGTGTAAATATCAACTCAATAAAATTAAGTAAAAATTACTCAACTTTTCTGATACTGGGGTTCCCATCATGCACTGGACCTTGAATAATTAATGAGGTTCATTTTTCACTGGTTTCCAGCTGTAGTTACACCGTTTTATCATTGATTTTTGTTTTCAGTATTAGTAAATTGCCATTTTGTGACATTTCGAGTACATTTTTTGCTTAAAACGACACATTCAAACACAAAAACGATCCATGTTACCACCATTGTGTATTGTCTACCAAGTATTGAGGTGTTTGCATTCACATAAGGCTTATGAAGAGTTCAGATGCAAAAACCTCTAAATGCCATTTGAAATTTTCTTCTTTAATGATGATTTTGATCAAACTTGTATATTTAAGTTCAGTAATTTCACTTAAATAACAATTAATAGGTAATTATCATTGCCATTTAAGTGAAATCACTGAACTTAAATATACAAGCTTGATAAAAATGATCATTCTAGAAGAAAATTTCAAATGGCACTTAGAGGCTTTTGCATCTGAACTCTTCATATAAATTACTTAGATGATCTAAGTAAAGAACATACTATAAATGACTAATAAAATTCAAGATAATTGTTTTAGTGAAATGTAATACAAAGGCAAAGGAAATCGATATTAATCAACCTTTTACAAGCCGAGTTAAAATTACTTATTTTTTGTAAAGTTTACTTAATTCCACATTCCAAGTAAATTTAACTTAAAGATTTCTAATTAAAGCTACTGATAAATATGTTTAGGTTTTTACTTGGCAAATCTTTGTAAATTTACTAGCATTTTCTGAGTGAGATCGTTAAGCAAGGTTTTTTCAAGTAAATCCTACTCTAAATTTTTTTACAGTGCAAGCTATTAAATGGATAGTTCACCCAAAAAGGAAAATTCTGTCATTCATGTCGTTCCAAACCTGGAAGACTTTTGCTCATCTTCGAAACACAAATGAAGATCTTTTTGATGCTTTCTGTCCCTCCATTGACAGCAACTACCACTTTGAAGCTTCAAAAAGATCGAAAAGCGAACCCATGTGAATTGAGCGCTTCTGAAGACTCAATCGCTTATATAATGAACACATTTAATTTAAGCTTTTAAATCAAAGCTCACAGATTTCATCAAAAAGATCTTCAGGTAACACTTTACTCACTGACGTGACACATGTCTTGAATATGAAGTAGAGTTTATGCATGTTTATGACAACTGTCATTAAGTGTCTTTCGCTCAATAATGACATTTTAAAAGCAAATATGACATCGTTTAAGAATCGATGTCTTTGTTATGACACCTGAATAGTCAATTCATTCATTTCGTGCGTTGAATGAACCAAATGACTCGGAAAAAGATTCGTTCATTTTGATGAACGAGTTCGAACAGGAGAGTCACGAACGCGCATCACAGAACAGAGCAAGGCGACCATTTGAGCTTATAAAACTTAAACTTTGTTATTTATTTATTTATTAAATGAGCGATCGTTTCGCTTGATAAGACCCTTATTCATCGTCTGGAATCGTTTAAAGCCCTTTGAACAGTTTGCAGTTTGCATTGAAACTGTCTTTTGGATCTTGAACCGTTTGGTTCCCATTGAAGTCCATTATATGGAGAAAATCCTGGAATGTTTTCATCAGAAACCTTAATTTTTTTTTTCGACTGAAGAAAGAAAGACATGGACATCTTGGATGAAATGGGGGTGAGTAAATTATCAGCAAAAGTGATCAAAAATCAGCAAAAATTATTTTTTTTTCAAAAGTGAACTACTCCTTTAAGCTTCATGATGGCAAAACATTAAAGAGATTGAATATTATATGAGTTATATCATATTTAACCATACATAAACTCAGTCTTATGGGAACATATTTATTATTAATATACAACTACAGTTCAGAAAGTCTCTTTTGAACTGTATGTAGTGTATTCATTCAAATTAATATGGAAGAAATTGCTTTTTATTACTTGTTATTGTGTTGCATCTGAATAGGACTTTTCAAATGTCTATTTCACTGTGAATCATGATGCCCAAACTAAATCTTGCAAACTAGATTCACACCAGAATGAAACTCAACCGGCCACAAACACACACACACACACACACATGCCAGTGAGTGACTGCTGTTTCTTGTTTCTAAACCAGTTCAGGTGTCACATGACTGACTGTTATTCCACTGACACCCCGTCTGCTCCTGAAATAGTCTCTCCAGCCTAAAATTACGCTCCACTGCTCTCTTTTACAGTGACCCCACTCCAAACACATACACAGAAACACACACACCTCCAAGTAAAAGTAGCTCATTCCTTTTTCAGACACCCACTTCTATAAATGGGCTCCATGCAGACTCATTCAGGGTTCATAATAGACATCTTAATCTGAAAATGCTGACCAGTATCATCCTAATTCACAGTGCAACATGTCCCATTGAGACCAGCTTGTTTGCTTGGAAATCTCAGGAAACCTGTCAAGAACATGTCCATCATGTAACTCTCTCATTATTTTAATGCGAAAAAGCATATATATTAGGGCTGTGCAAAAGATTAATTGCGATTAATCACATACAAAATAAAAGTTAGTTTTTTCATAATATATTTGTGTGTGCTGTGTATAATTATTTTGTATAAATACACACACATGCATGCATGTATTTAAGAAAATGTGTTATTCATATATAAAATATTTATATATAATGTAAATTATGTATTATATATATATATATATATATATATATATATATATTAAATATATACATGCATGCATATGTATTTATATAAACAAAATAATTATACACTGCACACACACATATATTATGTAAACACAAACTTTTATTTTGGATGTGATTAATCGCAATTAATCTTTTTACAGCCCTAATATATACTTATAATAATAGTAATATAATAATAATAATATATATATATATATATATATATAGATATATAGATATAAAGATATCTAGAGAGATGCACATTAATATTTACACTAAATTACTTAATTGAAATATAAAAATCTTGTTTAAAAAAATTCTCACAATATTCTCACAATTTACACTGACAAAATTAACTAATATATATATATATATATATATATAAAAGAAAATGTCAACAGACTTGATATAACCACCAGTTTATCAGCTAATTTGACACTATATATATATATATATACACACACATATATTATGTAAACACAAACTTTTATTTTAGATGTGATTAATCGCAATTAATCTTTTTACAGCCCTATATACTTATAATAATTGTAATATAATAATATAATATATATATATATATATATATATATATAAAAATCTTGTTTAAAAAAAATTCACAATATTCTCACAATTTACACTGACAAAATTAACTAATATATATATATATATATATATATATATATAAAAGAAAATGTCAACAGACTTGATATAACCACCAGTTTATCAGCTAATTTGGCACTATATATATATATATATATATATATATATATATATATATATGTGTGTATTTATTTTTTGGTTGGTAAAATGCAACCTTGTTCTTAACAGGTTTCGTGAGATTCAGTTGTGTGTGTGTGCATAAATCCGGAAGTGCATGTATTTATATTATGCTTTTCTGCATTAATGTGTTCGAGCCAACAAAGGTTAATGTTCATGACCTCTCCATAAATCTACTGGCGCTCTTTTCCACCGATGTGGTTTCCGGCAGCTGGCCCACGGCAGCGATAGACCCCACGGGAGCCAATGAATGTGCAGCCACATGTCTGATCGTGACAGCCGAACATGTGTACATGTGCTCGCATGAGAGCCAGACACACTCTATAGCTCACCTCTGATTAACACACACTACATTCCCCATGGATCTCACGTCACCTAAATGAACAGCTCCATTCACACACACACACACACACACACACGGGAAAGAGAAATCTCAAACTCAACTGCAGACAACAGTGAGGTTGTGAAAAAAGACTTTTGGTATCTCAGCTGTATCTTCTCTGCTATCATTCACTCAATGTTAAATTAGCAGGAGAACTTAATGGAAACGCAGGTGAAATGTTCATACAACATATTTTGTTAGCTGGGAAGAGCCTTAGACTAAAATATTGGACACTAGTTTTCAATCAAATGTTACTTTATTAAGCAAATTCCAATTCCTTTTCAGAAATTGACTTCTGTTGTGTGCAAAATAACCTGAACATGCCAATTTGTGTATATTCCTGTTAATTTGGGAGCACACATATAATATTGTTTACATGTTGTAAATATATCCGAAGAACACAGAAGTTGTTTCAGATTTGCATTCAACGGTTAGACCATGTCTGCCTGAAATAGATGAAACAACAACAAAACATTAGATCAAAAAAGATTAAAAGAGACTTACCCCTGGTAGAGTCTTCTGTTCATGCAATGCATTCTGGGCTTTGATGGCTGATTCACGAGCGCAGTACGTGAGGAACGCACAGCCTGCAGAAATGAGACGAGAATCAGATCTGAACTGCACACACTGACACAAAAAACACACACTCTTACACCAAAGCTGCCATTTATCACAAAGGCTCTCTGCACAGGAAAACAGTTGTAAACTAGATTTTTGCATGTTCTGAAGAAAACATGAGTGATGTTTGCCTGTGCAAAACTTGCTAGGGTTTTCTGGGTGTTGCTAAGCTGGGCGTTGCTAAGCTGTTTTGTGTATTCTTGACATGTTGCTAAGGATTTCTATACACTCTAAGAAAAAAGGTACAAAAGCAGTCACTGGGGCTGTAACTTTTCAAAAGGGAAAACTTTTGTCCATTTTAGGTGCTATTATGAACATTTTAGGTGCTAATATGTATATTTTAGGTGCTGATACTGTATGTACATTTTAGGTGCCAATATATACATTTTACGTGCTAATATGAACATGTAGGTGCTAATATGTACATTTTAGGTGCTAATATGGACATTTAGGTGCTAATATGTACATTTTAGGTGCTATTATGTGCATTTTAGTTGCTAATATGTGCATTTTAGGTGCTAATATGGACATTTAGGTGCTAATATGGACATTTTAGGTGCTAATATGGACATTTAGGTACTAATATGTATTTTAGGAGCTAATATGTACATTATAGGTGCTATTATGTACATTTTACAGTCCCTCCAGAAAAACGCGATTATGCGATCGCTGAATTCAATGCAAAATCAGCCAAAGTCCGCATATTTATGCAGGGGCCGCACTTTCGCCGCATAAATTGCCGATTTCCGTGCAAAATATGCGGGGTTTGCATAATTTCATAATCCTCGCATTTTCGTTGCAAAAAAAGTCACATGTATCGTAGCAGAAAGTTGAAAAATGTTGCGTTTGCTTCACACAAGAGCAGCCATTTCCCCCTGTTTCCATGGGAACGTTATGAAGTGACGCAATTACGCGAACCCAGACAGACTCACGGAGGCGATTGACATCTCACAAATCGAACTCGTATAACTGTCTGTCACACGTTCTACCGTCACAACGTTACTTAATAAACAACATAAGATAAAAGAAGTAGCATCAAACAGAAATTACCCGCACACATGGGGCGTTTGAGGCGCACAAAATATAACACTGCAGACAGTTCAACAGGGAGCGCGCAGCTCTTAAAGGGGCCACACCTTATTTACACTCATTACAGTCTGAAATTAAACAAGATGAGAAATTAAATATTCCCAGCACTTTCTATGATGTAGTATGCTTGCTTATCAAAGGAAGTAATAAGAAATGACTCTTACATTAACAGGATGTTGGGGGAATCACTTTTTTTCTCTTTTTTATCAAACCGCAATTTTTACAAGTTCCCTCAATTTTTGCAAATTCCTGCAATTTCATCGCATAAAATTGCATAAATATCCCGCATATTCCATCGCATTTTTAAAGAAAACGGACCGCATAATCAATCAATTTTTGCCCTCAACAATCACAAAAAAAAAACTCCACGTTTTTCTGGAAGGACTGAATACTAGTACGGTAAATGTTAAATATAAATCGCACATTTTTTCACAAATTTTTGGAAATTACCACCACAAAATCAATCAATTTGATCGCAAAAATCACAAAAAAAAAATCGTGAAATCCTGGAGGGACTGATTTTAGGTGTTAATATGGACATTTAAGTGCTAATATGTATATTTTTGGTGCTAATATGTACATTTAGGTGCTATTATGTGCATTTTTGGTGCTAATATGTGCATTTTAGGTGCTAATATGGACATTTAGGTGCTAATATGTACATTTTAGGTGCTAATATGTACATTTAGATGCTAATATGGACATTTTAGGTGCTAATATGGACATTTAGGTACTAATATGTATTTTAGGAGCTAATATGTACATTATAGGTGCTATTATGTACATTTTAGGTGTTAATATGGACATTTAAGTGCTAATATGTATATTTTTGGTGCTAATATGTACATTTAGGTGCTATTATGTGCATTTTTGGTGCTGCTAATATGTACCATTAAGGTGCCAATATGCACCCTTTAGGTACTTTTGAAAAGGTACAGCCCCAGTGACAGCTTTTGTACCTTTTTTTTTTCTGAGAGTGATCATGATTACTATTGCTTGTCTTTATTAGCGATCAGAATATTACTCCTTTTGACTTGAGCCACCTATGGGTGATGTTTGACTTAGAATTCACAATCTATTACGTTTATTCATTTAGCAGCTGCTTTTATCCAAAGCGACTTACAAATGAAAGTCATCACAAGCAATTTGTCAAAAGGGCCAATAACAAATTTTCAGATGGCGAAGCACCACTAATTGGGCAGAGTGATTAGCTCGCAGCACCTGAGAAGCCCCGTGGTGAGGAGCAGAGAGTTCGCTCACAGTGTTGCACTAATCACTCCGCCCAAGCAGCAGTGCTTCGCCCTCTGAGAATATAGTTCCCAGTATGTATACGGTTAAAAGATGGCTCTGTCTCATAAAGGTATGACCTTGTTATTTGTTCACACTGTAACTATACAAATCACAACATATAAATAGGAAAATGTTGCCGTTATTTTGTCACATATTGGGAGCAGTAGGCTAGGCTATGCTAGCTGAAGCCATTTACTGCCAGTCTTTGTGCTAAGCTAGGCTAGCAGTGCGTGCGTCAGATAGAGTTACAGCACGCACGGAGATGAAAAGGGTATGTATGGACTTATCTAACTCTGGGGGATACGGTGAATAAGCTAAAGTCCCAAAAAGTCGGCGTGTTCCTTTAAAGTATAAACTAGATTTCGAACTGGGTTACAGTGTTTTTGACCTTGTAACCTCAGCTTAGAGTCTCTGCTCCCAAAATATCCACTAGCGAATCCTGTCAATCGCTGTGATCAGACATCAGTCATTCTGTGTTCATATTCTCTCTCTCTCTTAGGGTTTTGTCAGGCGTTTAATATCTATAACCTTTTGGGGTTCTCATCATGGGATGATTTTATGGATTTAGTTTTGATTAATTAATTTGTTTTGATTCATTTGACACATTAAAGTATTAAGTCGTCATTTAAAGTTGACATTTTATGCCCCTTTCACAAGATGTAATATAAATCCATGGTGTCCCGAGAAAGTGTCTATGCAATTTCAACTCAAAACACCGCAGATCATTTATTATAGCTTGTCAAAGTTGCCCCTTTTTGGGAGTGAGCAATAACGCTCCGTTTTTGTGTGTCCCCTTAATTTAATTGGGCGTTTCTGAAAGAATACATTTATTCATCTGTTTCAGGGGGATTTCTATTGAAAATAAAATTACAAATACAGAACAGTTTTCATGCTTTGCTCAAACTTTTGCCATTGTAATTGAACCGATTGGCTATGAGCTACGTACAGGCGGATTTGATAGACATTCGTAGCACCCAATATACAGCTCTGGGCATTCGTAAACCACGCCTCAGATACGAGAAAATGAACATGTGGTTCCCAGACCACGTCTCAATCTCAAGGAGACAGTGGTGGAATGCAAGTACCAATACTTCGTTACTTTACTTAAGTACATTTTTCACGTATCTTTACTTTACTTAAGTAAAATAAATAGTGCCTACTTTTTACTTTTACTTCGTTACATTTTGCAGCAATTATTCTACTTTCTACTCCACTACATTTCTACAACTTCTGTTACATTTTCAGATCAGTTTTTCCCCTGCCAAAACGTAATTTGACCGTCCGTTCGTTGCACGTTTGTCTCACCAGTGACGTTTGGTTGCCATAGATACAGTATATCAACCCGGTCACACTAAATGCGTCTCGCACACAGTGTTTATCGTGCAATTTATACGTGAAAATTTGTTTTTACGTGCATAGGAAACCATAGATATGAATATAAAGGTTAGATGTGTCGTCCGCGCTGCTGGCCAATGGAGGTCGACGTCAGCACCTGGCGGCCATCTTGTCACAGGCAGCCCGCTCACTGGTAACATTGTTTTGATGGTGCATGTACTATTTAAATCACCGTAACTTGCTCAATTTTTTACCGATTTTCAAACGGTCTGGTTTGTTATAAACGGCAGAGATGTAGCTATGATACTGCATATTATGAATAATAAGTGTATAAATAAATAATCATCCAGAATTATAGCCACGTTAATAACGTTTGTAAGAAACCAAACCGTTCGTAAATCCGTCAAGATTTCAACGAGATAAAAGTATTTCTTACATCAGATACCACAGAGCCCGCCAGAAAGCCTGTCTGTGACAAGATGGCCGCCGGTGATGACGATAAATACTCCGCCGTGACAGATCTAGCCTTTATATAGATATCTATGTAGGAAACGCACTTTGTGTAATATACGTTTGGTTAGGATTATGGCAAGCCAAGAGGTTCAGAATAACACCATAAATTAATCGCGTTTACTGCCAAACATAGTTATTAACATATAGTAAGGATAAGCATGATGTGTAGCCATATTGCCTAATTGCAAGCTTGTTTCAGAAATGGTGACAACAACTTTTTTTCCATCATTATTGAACATAATTACAGGAGTATTAAGTTGCATGAGTTATAATTAAATGTTTTATAAATCATTAGAAAATAGACATTAAGAGAACAAATTGTTATGCAAGTACTTTTACTTTTAAAGTACATTTAAAATCTGGTACTTTTTACTTTTTACCTAAGTATGGTTGTCATTGTGTTACTTCTACTTTTACTAAAGTATATTTATCTGGATATTTGTACTTTTACTTAAGTATTGAGATTAAGTACTTCCTCCACCACTGCAATGATACGTGTTCTGACGTTAACCGGGCTAGGTGGCAGTGTTGGGAAAGTTTACTTTCTACACGATCTAGTTCAAAGTTCAAATATTTTGCCTATCAATCAACTTAAAAGGGAGATTTTCAATATTAAACCCTAAAAAAAATCAGTACTCAGCCTTGTAAGTTAGCTTTGTGCTAATCAAAAAGTGCAAAAAATAATGTTAAAAAGCTCAAAGTTAATTAAACCGATGTTAAGAGACTCATACTTTTCTATTCA